TTTGTTATGTGCCCTCCGGGCGGGGGGGGGGGGGGGGGGGAGCTTGGAGTGGTGACTACTTTACAACACACACAGGGACCATGGGGAACAAAAGTAGCCCCCCTCCAGAAGGAAGGACAGTGTCAGCACCAACTCAGAGATGATTGGAGGATCTACAGCTGAGCACAGAGAGAACATGCAAACTCCTTGGTACATGAATGTATTTTTAGGTTTTAACTCCTGAGTTTAGTGTCAATAAGCTGCAATACTTGCCGTATTCTTCACTCCGGAGGGCTTCCACCACCCTGTGCAACTGGCCCCCAAAGATGAGTCTGTATATGATGCTCAGGCTGGTGGTTGTATTCTGGCCAATAGTCCTGTAATGTATGCGAGGACAACGAGGGCCTGCCCAAAACCCGGAGCATTGGAGGTGAGTGGAGAGCGCCGGAAGCCTTCCAGAGCGAGGAATACAGTAAGGATAAGGGTCGGCAGGCAAAGCGGCATGGTTTGCAGTGTGCCTGCCGCCCCCTTTCTGACCAGAGTGGCCCAGGTTGTTAAGAGCTGGGTAGAGAGATGTGTAAGGGCCATACACAATTCCACGCAACCTGTGACGCTCTGGCCTGCGTACCACCCAGCTCATAGCAACCAGTGACATCAGTGAGTTGGGCAGGATGCCAACCAGAGCCCGGAGCAAGAGCTGGGCGGTGAGATGTTTCACCCCCTGTTAGTGTGCACCACCAGCACACACACACCCCCATTGCAGGCGGCAAAAAGTCTAGGGACACCCCAGCCTCTAGACCAGTGATGGCGAACCTTTTTGAACCCGAGTGCCCAAACTGCGACGCAAAATCAATTTATTTACCTCAAAGTGCCAGCGTTGAAAATAAGTTTAGTACTGTATTGCAGTTCGGGCGCTCGGGTTTAAGAAACGTTCAACATCACTGCCTTAGGCCCCATTCACACCATGCGACATATCTTACAAGCGGGGCCGGGATAGCGCGACTGTTCGGGGCGACGTTCCAGCGACGATCGCGCGACCTTCACCGTCGGGCTGAATTCAAAAATAGAAAAATTGAGCGACATCCGCGAGGAGGAAGTGGCCGTCTAATCTGCCTGTTTAGAGGGCACTGCCACTGCCTGACTGTGACTGGCCCGGATCGCGTGCTGAAGCGATCCGGGTCGGTCGGATCTATTTCTATTGGTGGTCCCTGAACCTGGGCTCGCGTGCCAGCAGAGAGGGCCCCGCGTGCCCTCCGTGGCACGCGTGCCATAGGTTCGCCACCACTGCCCTAGACTGAACAAGCATTTAACCCTTGCACTGTATGTGTATGGGGGGCACCAGAATGTGGGGAGGGGGGCACTAGGAATCCTAGAATTTAGCTTTAGCATTATTATGCGTGTGCTGCTGTTTAACAAGAAGCATAGTGAGCCCTGACGTTTAACGCAAATTGCTGTTTTTCCCATTGAGAGCAAAGCAAGAGATTCTATCCTCAATGTACCCGCAGCATGTATAGTGAATACCCGCTGGTTCTGCCAGAAATCCATTGAGCTCCTAACTTTCTGTAGAGAGCTGACAATGCTATCTTTGCTCTGCTGAACTCCCAAACAGTGTTGTCAGAGTTATCCCCTGCTGGACTGCAAAAGTTCTGCAAAGTTCTGCTGGACTGCAAAACCCCTTCTCCTCTCATCTCCCTAACATAAGAAGGTGGGTGTTCTGTAGTCCAGCAAAAGACAATTGGACCTGCCTGAGTTGCCCCCTGCTGGACTGCAGAACTCCTTCCCCCCCCATCTCTCTAACATAAGGGGGTGTTCTGCAGTCCAGCAGATGACAACTAGGCAGTCCTTCTCCTGACAACACAGATTGGGATTTCAGTGCAGAAGCAGCGCTGTCAGCTCACTACAGGAAGCCAGGAGATCATTGAATTTCTGGAAGGATCAACAAGTATTTACTGTACATGCTGCGGGTACATGGCGGATTAAACCAAATATTGCTTTGCTCTGAATGGAGAAAATGCAAAAAAAGAATATATATATATACTGTATATCCCCAACATTTGATCCAGGACTAGAAGTAACAGGCCGGGCACTTACTCTCACACTGAGGGTCACCACATCTCTTTTTGCTGGAGAGAATCTTCTGGCTAAGAATCTGGAGGACAGCGATGACCCCAATCAGAAATGCGACCCTATAGAGGCGTACTCCCGCCATCGTGCAGCTCTGATCTGAGCGACGTTGAGATCGGCGGCGGCCCTCTTGGAATTGGTTGTTTGTGTCGTTGTTATTCCATGCCTGATGTGCAGCTCATCTGACTGCAGAGAGCGAGGCCTCCAACGCAAGAGACTGATTAATGTTTAACCAACCCTCTCCAGAAGAGGAGACCTTTCACTAGACCATCGGCCGGTGCAAAGAGCAGGCAGCGCAGTGACTGACAGCAACCAATGAGGACCGGGCTTTTATCAGTTCAGGTCAAAGAGAAAGTCAATTCTAATTGGTGGAGTAACGGAAAGTAGAATCTGCTTTCCTTGGGGGGCATATTTTGAATGATCCCCCCATTAGAGTGCTGCTGATCTCTCAGGGTCTGTGAGCAGAGGTGTCATAGTACTTTTCATATGACGCCTCGGCTCTCAGACCCGAATGGCATTCGGAAACTCACGAATAGTATTGGGGAGTTCCCGAATGCTATGTAGCGTTTGACAGCTGAGAATGTCAAATGGGCGGAGCCATCTGTTTATTTTCGGGCTGAATGTCATTTTGCGGCGAGTTTTTCGCCGGGTTCAGACGGTCGTCATGCGGGCGGGACTTTTTTTTATTGCGGCGGGTCGGCGGGGGTCGTGCATCGTGATTGACGCTGGATTACATCGAGGGAGCCATTTTTTTTTTTAATTAAAGGATTTTATCAAAAGTCTGGACTTTTTAATAACTATTTTATTTAACCCTTTATTGAATGGGTAGGAGTACAGGGACCCCTTACTCATTCACAAGGTGGGGGGCGGCATCTGGGTGCCCCCTTAATTAAAGGGGTACCCCAATGCGAATAAGCCCCCTTGCCCGCAGATCCCCACAACCACCGGGTCAGGGTTGTGGGGCAGAGGCCCTTGTCCCCATCGGCACGGGGACACCTTCCCAGTGCCGAGGGCATGTGGCCTGGTAAGGAGCAGGGAGGGAGGGGGGGACGGGCACTTGATCGTCCCCCCCTTTCCTGCCCTGCTGGGCCAGTGCTCGAATCAAGCGTCTGGTAGGAATGTTAGGGGAGACCCCACGTTTTTTTCCACCCATTTTTGGGGGCTGGAATTCCCCCTTAAAATTCCTACCAGACCTAAAGGGCCTGGTAGGATTTTAGGGGGAACCCCACGCTTTTTTTTTAACTTGGGGGGGCCCCTCCAGGCAGCACATTCTGCTGTGTGGGAGAGTACCCTCTCCATTTAGTCCCGCCCCCTGGCCACCGAGACGAAGAAGGTGCTGCAGGAGTCAGGTGAGTCTGGTGTGGGAAGGCACCAGTGCCAATACTGGGCCTTTTCACGAATACTCGTAAAAAATGCCCCGATACTCAGCGCAGGTACCGGCACTAAATTTCTAAACTGAAGCGGCTGCCTAAAGGTCCAGCGCTTGCTGGGGACCTCGGCAGCCTTCCTGTTAACCACACGGTGCCTGTTTATAGTGCCTTCCCATGGCGGTAGGGGGCTAAGAGGGCCCTTTATGGTTTCTTGCACGGGGCCCTAAAGGTTCTAGTTATGCTTCTGGGGAGGCTTCTTCAGGGAGGAGTTGCTACGGCCGAAGAGATAGGAAGGAACTTTCTGGTTTAAAAGCACATAAGAAAAACGCCACCCAGATGGAGCTTGTCTAAGGGACCGCACCTCGGCAACGCATGTACCCTTTAGACTGTAAGCCCTCAGGGGCGGCGCCCTCCTTACCATCTTGTCTTGAATTGTATTGTAATTGTAATGTCTTCCTTACATTGTAAAGCGCTGCGCAAACTGTTGGCGCTATATAAATCCTGTGTAATAATAATAATATAATAAAAATGAACGTCAATTGTCACTGAATACAAACATAGCACAGATGCTTTGCTTTCCCAGTCACATCAAAGAAACACTAGCTAATGCCACCTTGATCTGACTCTATCCAAGAGTTACATGACTCTTCTGCAGAGCGCTTCAACAATGAGTCCGCCATTAGATGGAGACAGAGTACAGGATTTCCGGACGTCGCCGAGACCGTGCCAGGGAACTCAGCTGCACTATTAAATTACATTAAATTAAAGAACACTTAAAAAAATAATGCCGCTCTGCGTAGGAGAGTTCTACAGCGTGGAAAAATGTACAAAACAAGCCTGCAAATTTATTATCATTAGTCAAAACAAAGCGCCTACGATTAAAAATAATCTGAAACATAATTTAAAAGAAAAAATGGTCAGCCTGTTTAGTGTTATTTAGTATTTTTTAAAAGGAAAACTCCGCTTTCTTTTAAATAGATTGTATACATTGTTATAAGTAATTTTAAAAAATCTCTACACAAGCCGTTTTCGAATCCAACGTTATAAACAATTACACTTCAATTTCAATCTTTAGCCACTTACAATTTTTATTATTAGTAAATAAATAAGTAATAAAAAAAACAATAAAAAGTAATATAACAAATATTTTGTATAATTATTTTACAAATATCCTTAAAAATAAAACAAATACAATAAAAAAACAATAAAAAGTAATATAACAAATATTTTGTATAATTATTTTACAAATATCCTTAAAAATAAAACAAATACAATAAAAAAAACAATAAAAAGTAATATAACAAATATTTTGTATAATTATTTTACAAATATCCTTAAAAATAAAACAAATACAATAAAAAAAACAATAAAAAGTAATATAACAAATATTTTTTATAATTATTTTAAAAATATCCTCAAAAATAAAACAAATGCAATAAAAAGTATATCTAATGTTTTTGTTTTTAGGTTTTGGATATAGTAGCTCTTTCGGGGCCCTCCTTACCATCTTGTAACTGTAATGTCCTCCTTATATCGTAAAGGTGTTATATATAAATCCTGTATATTAATAAAACCACTGTCAAAATGTGCAAAAATTTGGAGTTGTCACCAGAACAGGAATAGAGGAAAAATCTTCCAATAGGGCAATTGTAGCAAATTAGTATTTCCCTCACTTTGGAGAGATTTCCTCACTTCCTGTCGTGCAAACAGGACAAGAAGGGAAATCTCCCCAATTGGGATATTTTAAAAATCTTTATGTTGTTTTCATTAAAAAAAATGTTAATTGTTTATGATACAGAGTAATTGTCATTAATTTAGAGTTTACATCTACTTTGAAATTGGCTTTCAGAGATATTAATAATAAAAAAAGCATGTGAAAAACAATAAATATAAAGTTATGCAATTTTTTTCACCGTGAAAAGTAAAACTTAAAGGAGAACTATGGGGTCAGGGCTTTTTCCCATAATTCTCCTCAGGGTAACGGGAGGACACAAACTAGCATTCCTCCACTCACCCTAGGCTCAGTATACCTCAAGCTATGGCTCGCGGTATACTGAGACGCCGCAGCCGGAGCGGATCCCGACATCGATGTTGAGATCCGCCCAGGTGCGTGACTGACAGCTGGCTCTGCCTATCTAGAGGCAGAGCCAGCTGTACCCGCCCAGTCCCCCGTCCGTTCCGCCAGTCAGCGCTGGAGGATCGGAGCGAGGAGGGGGGAATCCAGCCCCTCCCCTGTCATGGCAGAGAGCCGTGACAGGATTGAGAGGTGAGTGAACGCCGGTATGTGTTCGCTCACCTCCCGATCTACTGAGCCGACCTGTGACAGTCTCATTGTCACAGGTCGGCTAGAACTATGAGGTGAGTGACAAGCACTCACCTCATAGTTCTCCTTTAATTATAATTGCTTCATGTATTTCCAGATCTATCCATCAGATGTATAAGAAGTGAGCTACAGATTTGTTGCCCCTTCCAAAGAGGAAACGCTCTGGAGATTGTCCACCAAACTGTTACTGTTGTGTAAATATTATCTCATTATTTGTTAAATAATAGTTATAGTTGTGTATAGTTATTACATGGAAATATGTGTTTTAGCTAATACATAGCTAGAATACATATACTGTATTTAAACGAATTGTAAAGTCCCAGGACATCCTCTCCTCTTATAATATCAGCATTGTAACAGGAATACATAGTAGAGTTGTTTCTGATAATGTAATCAAAGCTTACTTGAAGAAATCCCTTTTATGTAGTGAGCGCTGCCTTCCGTCTGCCCAGTGGCGGAACTACCAGGGTCGCAGAGGTCGCGGGCCGCGACCGGGCCCTGGACTTCCGCCACTTGGAGGGGGCCCAGGACTGGAGGAAGGGGCCCCTGGTGACCGCTGATTACCAGGATATTTATTATCCCGGTAACCGCTAATGTCAGTCCCGGGACCTCTTCCTCCTGTCCTGGGCCCTACATGCTTCACGCTGCTCCCCTCACCTTGTTCCGGGCGCAGCATGAAGCATCATCCAGCCGGGCAGCAGCCAATGAGAGGGAGCGGTGTAATCCCCGCCCCCTCATCACACAGAACTGCTGCCCACTGCCGAATAGAGCTGCTGCGGACACAAAGGGGGAGACAGGGAGCTGGAAGCATGAAGGAAGGTGACATGGGGTCCGGGAGCGGAAAGCTGGGGACATGAAGGGGGAGATAATGGGGAGCTGGAGACATGAAAGAGGAGAGTGTTTTTTTTTCCTTTTTTTTTCTTTGTCTAAATTTTGTTTAAAAAAAAAAAAATAATCTCATTTGTTTCTTCTTGGGGGGGGGAGGGGCTTCATGGATTCTTGCATCGGGGCCCTGAGGTCACTAGTTACGCCACTGCGTCTGCCCATCAGTTATTATTATTATACAGGATTTATACAGCGCCAACAATTTGCGCAGCGCTTTACAAAATGGAGTAAAGAAGTTTACTCCAGTTCCAAGAACTTCCTGGATTCCCAGTGTGCTTTGCTCCTCTTTCCCTGCTGCTTGATGTGATGCAATCTCCATTACTCAAGACCACATATCCCATCATGCATTGCTGCCAGCAAGCAATTCTAATGTTACATTGTTCAGACGTTAGGTTATAGTTCAGATGGCAGCCTTGGTTGGAGTGGTGACACCAGGAAGTGTACATTCACAGGGCTGAGTGAAATGGTGTCAGTGCATTGTGGAAATACATCCTATGGGCATCTTCA